GTAGGCCTCATTTCAAAAGGCCACTTCGACTTGGGATCCTTCCCTGGTAAGAACAGAGATTGTACGAGATTGCCGTAACGGAAATGACTTGGAGGGAGCATTTGGACGAGATTTCAATTGTTACAATTGCGCCAAGAGCTGGCTACATCAAGTTAGAACTGTCCAGAATTGCCTTTCACTGCCGCTGTTGATCATGACAAGTTGTTTGAACTTCCCGCATGGATTACCTTATGTTTGGTGTAGCCACTACAATGCCGGTGAAACTCGACCGGGGATCATGCGTTGCCATCTTTGACCCTTTATAAAGCCCTATCGTCGGAGGGAGCTTCAACTACATATTAGATCCATTCGCTCTAAGGTTATTCGAGAACGAGTGTTCTCGGCCTAACCTGACCTGATGCTACGTAAGCAACTCAGGGTAGCCATCCAGGATCAAGCTCTGTGTACGGCCAAACTCTGTGTACGGTGCAAATGATATGCGACCGCTATCAGTCACGCTCAAAACGCACCTTGAGCAACCGGTAGAAGGGATCTGATCTCGCTTATGTTGGGCACTTGAGAATACAACATACATCCAAGATCCCCTTCAAGAGGAAGTCTTAAGACTTCTCCTTGACGATATCTACTTCACAATTTGCAGAATAACCTTCATTACCTTCATTATCGATGGTCCCTAATCCTTGCATTTTTTTTTTGCAATTTGAGCGCAACTTGAACCCGACAAATCTTTTGCTGGTACTCACTACTGCCTTTTTACCTTATGTATATCATCTGTAATTTTTTGGAAAAACCCACAGTGACCACAAAACGAAGTCTTAAAAGTGAAAGGATGAAGTCTTTGGGCGCTGATCAATCCCGTCTGAGGGATGCGCCCCACATTCTTCTTCCATTCAGAGTCGTAGTGGCGTATTGAATGCGTATGTGACCTTTACAATGACTTGCAGTGGCCAGCCGACCAGCCGATGTACAAGTCAGTGCTTTTATCCTCCAAACAAGTCTGGTAAAAATTAACCGACCCTGGATTGATGGGAGGCTTGGTTGGTCTATGCTAGATTCGATTCCGTAGACATGCGTGTGTGATATTGCGCCACTCGCCACTACACCACAATCGTCCATCGACCCCCAAGTATTATGATTAATTTACGGATGACCTTTAGAAAAAACAACCTCTGTACTTTAAAATTCTCAAAAACCCCACTGTCAAGGTTATACCACATTCCACTAGACTCACGAGCGGGAGCTGCAAAAGAACTCTGTGAAAGACTTCCATAATAGGATCCAAGGACATTCACATTCAACCGTTGGATCTTCTAAGCGACTGCACTTTACGCCTCGAAATTGAGCAATGCTGGCCGAAAGGTTTGATTCGTATGCAACTTCACCCAAAAACCCCATGGGACTGCTTCCGTGTGGCAAAGTAAGATTGGCGTCCATCAACCCTACCAGATACAGCTCGCTAAGTATGAGTGGGTCACTCACGGATCTCCCTATCACAAGCTTCACGGTCCCCTTTCCTTAGTCGTAGAGAGTTCAGAGCTTCGGAAGGTACGACTGATAGGAAGAAGCTCTGATTGAATGATTTTGATCGATAGCAATGAATATCGATTCGTACTCAACAAGGTTTCGTAGTTTACCTCGCCACTGCTGCAGAGCTTTCTAACGGATAGAGGACAATGTGATAGGCTATCGACTCCAAGGTTATGGCCAACATTTATGGAAATTATCGGTTTTTGGGCTGAAAGACAGGAAAGGTTAGTAAGCCAGGGGCGTGGTAACTTCTTCCCGAAAATCGCGTCGCGCTCGCCGCATCCGTTCGCGTGCAGTCGTGCGCTATGAAGGGGAACGTCCGAATTCCTAGTGGAAGGATACGGTAGCCGCCGCGGAACCACTGCCGTGTGTTGTTGGAATTTGGGGAGAAGTACCACCACACCAAAAACTTCCAATAGCTTTTCACTACAACACTTTAGCCAATAATATGCGATGAGAGGTATGGCAATCAGCTCAAGTTCAGAAAATTACACAACGAAGAGTTAAGTGGGTCTCAAACAATCCGTATTATACAGGGCTGCATATGGCTACTTCGTGAAAAGCAAATTCTACTCAACAATTCGGAAATCAGTGAGAAAAAAACGAGGTCTTATGGACATTCTTCGATGAGTTCAAGTGTTAAATATTGTGAGCCTGTGGTAATCTTCCTTCCTGTTTTTCGAGTCGAAGCCTAGAGCTCACTGCCTAAGGTTTTCTTAAAATCCCCACATTACCAGTATACCAATAATGAGTTGAACTTCATATGATTTCAGGTCAATCGATGGTTATTTTCTCGTCAAATTATCTTGCTGAGCAGTGAAAACAGTTTGTTTCCTCACCTCTATTCAAAACAATTGTGGCTTCTTCCCTCAAATCTGATAACCCTCTTCTACCCTCGAATACCCACAGATCCTTACCTTGCACACCCATCTACCGAAGGCGACCGGTAACTACGGCATCTTCGAATACGTTACGTTTCCGAGCGCTGGATGAAGCCTCTTTCTCCCCAATATTAACCCTTCTTCAACTTACTCGATCGCACCAAGACAGTGTCTGTCACCCTTCTGGGGTAGTCAACCTAACAGAGAGATATAACAGGCCTTACGAACCACCAACTCTTTCGGGTTTTCAAACCAGTTGCAACTCATCCCTAGTTATAGACAATTAGCAGCTATACATAGTTTGAGGCTAGATCCCACAGCAAGCTTAGTTTCTCCCTTATTTTTTTCATTTCGAACCATTTAAAGACTAAATACTGCCTATGCAACACGCGATTACTTCTTCGAACAACTTCAGCTAAAGAGTTTTATGAACGATGTGTTGAATCGCAGTTTCGCCCTAACATTTTGGAGCTGTATCCAGACAACTGCAGAGATTTTTGAAAAGAAGTCACGTTAATTCTTGGAAAGAAAAATGCACTGCAAAAAGTATTTTATCGCTCATATCATGATATTTACTATGTACAGAAACGTCAACAACGAAACTTTGAGTAACAAAACAGAATCTAAAACCTAACAACTAAGAAATTCTACAAAACATTCGATATTACTAAGCTTGCTGTGCGGCTAGCTGTTCTTCTTCATGCAATTTCTTAATGAGTTTTTGTTTTTCCTCATTAAAGAATTCTGCAAACGCGTTTAAGTTTTCCATTTTCTTCTCTCTCGTCATGTATGGATTCTTTGACATACCAACACATACCTAGAAGGATAAACTCAAGGATCTGCATAAAAAATGATAATTGCCACCTGCACATCCCGAAAAAAGCCAGGAAAACAAAATGTAACACTCACCAACTCCATGAAGTGAGCAATAGGACCATCTTTAGGCAGTCCAAGACCAGCAAGATGCCTTTCCAAGAAAATGTGATCGTAAAATGGGACCTAAGAAAGGATCAATCGAGCAAACTATACAGAATTCAACCTAACGATGAATAAAAACATAACAAAGACATACCTCAGCTTCCGGTCCCAGCATATATTCATTATCGATAGGATAGGGCCACTGTTTTCCTTGTTCGGTCCACTGTATCTGCTCTTCGAACGAATTCTCCGGTCCGAGGGATTGGTTGATGATTCTAAATGCTACTGTAAATTTCAGCCTTACGAAAAAAGCCCATTTATATAATCGCATGCTGGAGTTTTCCTTGACCTGGAAGCTTTCATTGGACCTCCCTCATAAGTTGGCAAAGCCTCCAACGTTGATGAAAAGGGGATTCCAAGCGAAGACAAACCAAAAATAGCGACTGATTGGCTTTCCTCAACGTTCTAACCATCCCTTTTCTCATCGACTCAGTGCACTGTCCTTTATGTCCGAAAAGAAAACGAGAGAGGTTCTTTGATTATGAGAAGACCAGTGAAAAAAGGTTCCGATATTCCACTTTACCGCTTACTGAGATGGGTTAGCTATACGGTGACTGAAAAAGCTGACCCGACAAGTTCAACTACTGCCCCTTATAAACCGCCAACCTTACTGAGACGTTTGAAATAAATATAAAATAAAATAAAAATTAAATGCTAAGTAAAAGATTAAACACTTACCTGGCAGCCCTGAGATCCCATTCTGACCAGAATCCAAGACTATGATCCTGACATCCCTCAAGGTTCTTCCATATTCCAAGCCGTCTTGATCCTTTTAGTAATGATGGCACTGCTGGGTCCGGTTTAATTGTTTTACGAGCCTTGGTACCATCTCCAAGAACGTCATCATGATACAACATTTTTCTAAACCAGGCCCAATACTGCATTAGAAGATGCAAATGAGAATTCAAAAAACACCAAAATACGAACTCAGCCATTTGATAAGCATAGTCATAGAACCGTTGCTCTTCTTCGGCTCTTTTCACTTTCTGCTGTTTCTCGGCCTCTTTGGAAGCCTAAAAATTATGTAAATATAAAAAAAATATGTTCAAAAACCTCCCTTTGCGAAATACAGATCAGCCACAGCATAGGCATACCTCTATTCCTTCTAACTGTGCTTTTCTTTGAGCTGCTATTCGTTCCTGTGCTTCCGCAACAGCATTCTCGGCCAACTTCTGTGCTTCCGCAGATTTGATACCGCTCTTAAATTTGATGGATAAAAGGAATTACCGGTAACCTAACAATAAGCCCAAAGGATTTGCCTTACTTGAACAGCCTGATAGAAAATTTCCTTTCTCAAAAGCAATAGCCCACGACGTTCTTGCCGT